TTGACGGCATCTGGCTAGAGAAAAATAAATCCTTTTTCCCTTTGCCAGACGTCTGGTTCATGATAAACCTGTATCACAAGTCCCTGAGATCCTTGAAATGGTTAGTGAAAATGCTATGGTATGATGTTATGATGTCATGTTTGAACAAATAGCAAACACAAACAAAGCACACAATAGCCTTAGGTTCAAAGGCTTGCATGGGGTCCATAGGTAAATACCCTTTTGAAGTTAAGTTGGCTCAACCCATCTTAAAAAGTAACCTGGTTCTACGAGTCTCATATCACCGATCTTTCTCACATGTTATATTTCAGCAAAGCAACTGGATTGCCACCGAAATATCCCGAAAGTCGAATCTCAATGAGTGTAGCATCGAGTATAAACCAATTTTAGATTGCACCAAAGTCGGTCATCTCACTACTTTCTAATGGCCAAGATGGGTCAATTAAGGTTCTAAAAGTCAGTTACTGCTTTTGATACTATGCAACAGCCTAGTGTTCTCCTCGACTGACTCAAGGGACACCAATACAAAGTAAAGTGTCACACTAATGTAGCCATCACTTCAATCATATCGGTCTATGATGTACAATTTCCATTATCTATTGCTACTTACCTAAGGTATCTCCAGATCTGGGTGTAGGATCTTTGCAAGAAAGTAAACCCAAGCAACCCTTTAAAGATAAAGCAAACAAAGCAGACAAATAAAGTAGATAAAATTATCTAACTCCAAGGTAACCCCTCTTTTAAGAATTCCCCAATAGAGTCGCCAATTTTGTAATATTGTGGGAGAACTGACTTGGTTTACGTTTGATCGCAACTGTTGCAGATAGCAAGAGTCGCCACTGACTTTTCTTTTATCCAATATGGAAAGGGTGAAAAGAACAGGAAAGACCTTGATAGATTTTGAGTTCGGGGGGTAGATTATGAAAAGGGAAGGCGTTAGCACCCTTTTTATCTGTAGTTATCTACATGCTCTTAATTGCTTAGCTCACTTTGAAAATTTCGCTTTTTTGTGCGTGTTTGAAAATATTTTGAAAGTTTTACCAATGTAAGGTGAGACTTTGTAATGACTCTTGTGTCGGTCCTCAAGAGTGTATACAAAACGTTTGTTTGAAAATATTTTGAATGTGTTTATGGAAATGTTTTGTTTTGAATTTGTGAGCAAGCGATTAAAAACATATACCCACTCAAGGTCGTTCTTGTATTTTTCATCCTCCTTTAGATAGTGATATGTACCATTAGTTAGTAGGAAACCCTATCGTTAGATGTGAAGGGACGGGTGAGGGTCATCGTATGGTCATTAAAGGAAACTCGTAAGGACGTTTTAGTAATTTTCATAAGGGACTGTCATCGTATTATTTGTAGGCAACTCGAGGGACTAGATCATTTTCAAAAGGCAACACCGAAAGGGTCATCGAGGGACTATGATCTTTTTGTATGATTACTTGATCGAGGGTCTTTGCTAAGATATCCCTGCGTTTGAGATACATGACCTTTATTTTCCGAAGGAAACAAGGGAGGTTACCCTAGAGGTGTGAGTGTGCAAGTGTGTTGTATTCAGTTATTTTAGTCTTTGAGTTTAGGGTTTTCTAACGATTGTTTTTATCTTTCCATCCAAACCCTAATTGCTAAGCAGTAAAGTAGCAAATATCAAAAACAGTAAAGGTGCAGAAAGTAAAGGCAGAAAATATAAACCTAAACTATTACATCGCTTTGGGGAAAATACATAATAATGAAAGCGGCAAAAAAGAAAGACCCTAACTATTACATCCCAGAAAACATTTACATAATAGCGAAAAAGGAAAGCGAGAAAGCTAGGTTATCACAATTGCGAACATACAATTGATCTAAGAATGTGAAAATCAAATGAAAATAGAAAAGAGAATATTTTGGTTTTTTTAATGAAAAGATGATTTAATATTAATGAATTAAATAGACCTAAAAACCTAGTTAATTTTATTTTTAAAAAAGTCAATTAATTTAATTAATTAAAAGCCTAAGAATCTAATTGATTTTAATTAAAAAAAATTAATTAGTTAAATTAATTAAAAAACCTAAAACTTATTTTTGTATTTTAATTAAATAATAAAAAATAAATAAATAAAAGGATAAAAAAAGGAAAATATAAGAGTTGGGCCTGAGTTAACAAAAGGAGGGGGTGTGCAACGAAATCTGTTAGGCCTAAGAGAGTGGGGCATGCTCGATCTAGTACAAGCAGCCATGAGGGTGCATCGTGGGCGTGCATATCTGGAAGCGTTGAATTTAGATCTGAGGGATGCGAAGCTTAGGGTGCACGTTTGAGGTATGAAGATGCGCTGCATAAGATCTTCAAAATCATAAAAATATGAAAAAACACAAAAGGCAGAGATCGAACCCACGCCTTGGTATAGTAATACATTAACGCGCGCTTCCTTATCACTAGGGTGGCTGTACATCCGGTAACATAAGTGAAACAAAATAATTATGTAATAAACACATTTCTTGGACCAGAGAGGCGCCAGAGCCCTAGCTCCGGTCGTCTTCTCCGGTGACTCTTTTTTTTTGTTCCTACAAAATAAGAAAAGTCAGTAATTCAAGGGTACCCTACCCCTCTTGCCATTTTCTTTGTCTTTGTCAAGAGATGGACACTCTGTCCTATAATGACCCAATTTACCACAATTGTAGCATATACCTCTTGACTTTCCTTTGTTGTTGTCTTCTTCTTTTGAGGATGAGGATTGTCTCCAAAACTTGATGAGGTTTTTGTCGGAGTGCTTCACCCTATTCTCTCTAATGTACCTATTTTACCTTCTTGCAAACAATCTCATCTCTCCATCATCTTAATTTTCATTACCATTATCATCACTCTCATTTTTCTCATTTGGTGAGGACGATGATCTAGAAGCCGTTAGAGCAGCAAATTTCTTTTCCACCTCCTTAGCTTGGCCTTTCTCCTTCTTTAGCTTCTTCTCATGTTTTTATCATGTTTTTCTAAGCATGTTAGTTCTTGCTCATGTTTTTCAAGCTTACCAAACAATGTAGTGAAGTCAAGTGTTGTAAGATTGTTGGCTTCCTTGATCGTGGTGACCTTTGGTTGCCATTCCCTATTAAGACACCTCAAAACATTATTAGTAGCAAGTTCATTGTAAATCGAATTCCCAAGTATACTCAAACTATTAATGGGATGAGTGAACCTCTTTTGCATTTTGGAAATGGTTTAACCATACTTCATGTAGCGGTGAAAATCGAAGATCGAGCTATTAATTAACTCGACTCGCAAAAGCAAGAGTCGCCACCGTGCTTTATTATTTCCAAGGGAAAAGGGGAAAGAGCTAAATAAAACCCTAAAATATGCAATGTAAAATAATATTTGAAAGTAATGAAAATACAATGTTTTTTTTGAAAAAAAGAGATCAAGAGTTCGGGGGTTGGTTATATAATGGGAAGGTATTAACACCCAATGCATCTGCGGTATTCCGCAGGAACCTTTTGAAATATCATTTTTTGGTTTAAATTGTTTGTTTGATTTAAATGGTTTGTTTAGTCAAAATGGGTGTGAATGAGATTTTGAAGATACGACGACCTAGTGTCGAAGTTTTGACTTAAAAGGTGTGAGTTTTAAAATTGAGTATGTTAGGGAAAATTAACTTAAGTTTATTAAAAAGAGTAAAATTAAAATGAATGAAGGGACTCGCTCAATCAGATAAGATGTATTTGGTGACGTGAAGTTAACAAAATTAAAATATTTCCCTTGGAATAAATCAAGCGAGCAAAAATAAAAGGGACATCACAATATAAGCAATCGAAAATTCACAAAAAAATAAATCTAACGAAACAAATTAATGATAAAAAGGCCCTAAGAAATTAAAATGACAGAAATATTTAAATACAAAAAAAAAAGAATGTAACTAATTATCTAAAAAAAATTATTTAAACTGAATTAAAATTCTAAGATTACTTACTAAAATAATTTTACTAACTACAAATTCTAAGGTTATAAAAATAATTCTAAAATTACTAAATTAAATCTAAACTAAATTAAAATTTTAAAATTAGTAAATTAAATCTAAACTAAACTAAAATTCTAAGGATACTTAAATTAAATCTAAAACAAATAAAAATTCCAAAGTTACTAAACTAAATCTAAATCAAATAAAATTATAAAAAAACTACTAAATTAAACCTAAATCAAATACAAATTCTAATGTTATTAAATTAAATCTAAATCAAATAAAAATTATAAAGTTATTAAATTAAATCTAAATCAAATAAAATTCTAAAGTTACTAAATTATATCTAAATCGAATAAAAATTCTAGAGTTATTAAAATAAATTTAAATCAAATAAAATTCTAAAACTATTAAAGCTCTAAAATTACTAAATTATATCTAAACTAATTTAAATATAAATAAAGTTAATTATAAAATCACTAAATTATAAAATTAAAATTCTAAAGTTTTTAAATTAAATCTAAACTAACTTAAATTTCTAAAGTTACTAAAATAAATCTAAGCTAACTAAAAATTACTAAAAAGTTCTAAACTAAAATATCATTCTAATATTACTACTTTAAATCTAGACAAGTTAATGATAAAAAAAGGGTGTGAAACAGAAAAATAGGATAGAAACAGTTAACTAGCGGATTGGGCCTAGTTTGGTGGGTCAAGGCCCCAAATAAAATTCTAATGAGAAGGAAAAAAAACCCTAGAAATTCTAAACAACAATGCAGCCGTTCCACGCTTGTTTCTCTCACCAATTCCAAATAATTAGAATTTAAACCAAATTAAATCCAATTAATTAATTAAATAAAAAATATTACTCCAAATCTTCTCTCTCTTCTCCTTCATCTTCCGCGAATCTTCCCCTCTCTCCTTCGTATTTCATCTTCTTATCTCTATTTCAACTTCTCACATCTTCCGAAAAATCAAACAAACTAATAAACAGTAATAATAAAAAAATGAAAAAAGAGGAAAGGATGAGACAAACCCAACTTCAGCGATGAGTCAAATTTGCAGTGGTTTGTGATGGGGTTTTTGGTGACATCACGGGCGAGGATCTGCTCAGTAATTTGTGCAAAAACGACAGTGACGGGAGGCTTCGGTGGTTAAACATCGTGGTTTCTTCATCAGAGTGGAGTGGACGGCCTAAGGGAAGGAGGCTGCGATTAGAAGGTATGCACGAGGCTGGTAGGCGTTGAGGGGTGAGGTGAGTGATGCTGGAGAACGACAATCGACCAAGATTAGGATCAAGTATCTAGAAGCTGCTTTGAAACAAGACATTGAATTCTTCGACACGAAGGTTCGAACTTCTGACGCTGTTTTCACAATCAGTATTGATGCCGTCATGGTCCAGGATGCCATTAGTGAGAAGGTTAGATGAATGAACAACTGTTATATTTTTTTCTATTCTCGCGCCAGTTTTTTAAGATTTTTGAGTGTTATGCTGGATTTGTGCACTTGGGAAATTTGTTTTGTTGTTGTGAAATTGCAGACAGTTGTGCACATCCGAGTAGTGCTGGAAATTTGTCCAGCGGCAACCATTTTATCAGTGTTGTAACGAGCATCATAACTCTCCTCAATTTACCAGTTGTCAAGTACACTCTTCCTCAAGTTGCTGAAGCTATTAGCCAGAATCACTTTGGGTTTACTGGATATTGTGTTTCTGATGCTGTCAAACAAGTTAACTCTTGTAATAACAAGTTTTCTGAGTTGGTGTTGGCACCTTTAGGGAATAGAAATGGGGTTGTTCACAAGTTTGTGGATGTTTCTTATGCTATTATTAAGAAACTTTTAAAGGATTGATTTCTATATATTTTTATTCTTTTTCTCCTACTTCTATTGCAGGAATTAGGTAACAATCTCCTCGTTGCTCTTCACCATTTGCTTCTGTTTTTATAGTTAATGTATGATAGAATTGGAGGGAAAATTGGAGCCAAATATCACTTGAATTCTAGTTTATGTCATCTGCCTTATGCTTTCTTGGTGCAGGGATTTATGGTTTCATTTTGGGCAAGTTTTTGGACAGCAAAGATAGTAAAAAGGCTGTTTGCAGACTTTTGGAGTGAAGTAGCAGCAAGCTTGGGGCCTTTCGGAAAACAAATTTGGACTGTTTTATTTGGTTACTTATGCAGGGATAGGGAATGGTTTTGCAAGTTCAAAAAATCTGGTTTTGGGACCACAACTTTATTGGACATAAAACAATAAAACAAAGACACTAGTAATAATAATGATAAAAGGAAATTTGTTAGTAATACAAAACAGAAGAATAATAATAATAAAAATAAGATTCAAACAAAATTAATTTTATTCTAATTTTAATATTAATTCAATTTTAAAAATTGAATTAAAATTAGAATCAAATCAAAATTAATATTGGATTAAAAAAAGCTAAAACTATAATGACCAAAAAGAATAAAAAAATGTAAAATAAAGGAAAAGATATTAACTATATTTTTTTGAGATTTTTTGGATTAAAATCTATACTAAAATAAAAATCTAAATGAAACCAATAAAATTATAATATTTTTTTATATATTTTTTTAATTAAGAATTGCGAATTTAAAATATTATAATGCTAATTATAAATATTTTTGTGATTTTTCTAATAATGCGATAGTAAAAAGTGACATGAACTAAAATACATATTTTTTTAGATTTTTTTCAAATAAGACAAAAATGATAAATAAAAGACGAAAAAATATGCGCTATGCACGAATTGGTAAAGGTTGGACAAGACATTATCAAATTTCATTAAATTCATAAAGCGACTTCTAACGTTTTCATTCTTTCGTGGCATTTCAAAAATAATCAGCTCTTGACTTGTAAAAAAAAAGTCGTGGATGTTGTCAAGGAGAATCATATGTAAAAGAACCACTAAAAATGGCGAAATTTGAAGAAGTTATGAATTTTTGAAATCTGACTCGAGAAATGGCAAAAATAGGTCAAATTGCTTGTGAACACTTGCTATGTAATGACACAGATGAGAGGTGGGATCTTAGGTCAAAAATTGGAGTATGACACTTCACACGAAAGAGTTCAAACTCTTGATTTAGTGTATTTACTCTAGATTGTTTGACTTCATTGGTTCACTCATGGGAAACTTGCAATGGGTCTAACATAGCTTTGGAGGTTTCACAATGAGAAATACGATAAAATTCATCAACACCAAGAGAGGTTATGAGAATGTTTCGTTCTTTCCAATCGTGAGCCCAATTTTTCTTATCCTCATCACTCCACCTTGCTTCTAGTTTGGGTGTCGTGACATCATTTACGATCTCGGTAATTTCAGTTGGACTGTTAACAATGACGTCATTCACACATACTCTTATCTTATGAATTCTTATGAGTGTGCATACAAGTCTTCAATTAACCATAGTTTTCACTGATGATAACATGTGCTCTATTGTATACCCCTTTAGGTTCATTTTCCATTTTCTAACAAGTGTTTTTGAAGCACACATAATGAACTGAGCTCTTTATGCCACTTTTTAGATGACAAAAACTTATCTTGAGGGGGGTGAATAGATCCCAATAAAAAATTAAGTTGAAAAGTTATTTTAAAAAATAAGCAAAATCTATGGCTAGCGGAAGTCGTGTCCTATATCACAAGTCGTCCAAAAATAAATTGATTATTCGAGCTCATATATGCGTTCAGTCAATTCTTAATTGGATAATGATGACAAGAAAGTAATATAGCAAATTCTCAGTTAATGGTTTGACATCAACGATTAAGCAAACCAATTTCTAATGAAATTAATGCGAAAGCTAATTAAAACAGTTTATCGAACACTTAGTGTGCACTTTGAGTTTTCATATTTTCCTTTGAACTTTTTTGTTATTAAAAACTTATTACAATAAAATGGATTGTAAGATTAATAACAAAGCGAATTTACAATCAAATGATATGTCTATACTAATCAATTTGCGAAATCAAAACGTTTAATCAATTGCTAATGAAAATGTAAATGAGATATATATATATATATATATATATATATATATATATATATATATATATATATATATATATATATATATATATATATATATATATATATATATATATATATATATATATATAGAGAGAGAGAGAGAGAGAGAGAGAGAGAGAGAGAGAGAGGGAGAACGACATAAGGATTTTTTTAGGAAGTTCACCAATTGCCCTCTCTATGGCTACTTCTTCCCCCAATTCCGTTTGGAATTGACAAAAATTTCTTACTATTGCAAAAGATTAGTTTACAAGAGAAATGTTGCGATCCAATCCTACAAACCCATTGGTTGATGATGATCCAAGAAAATTCTCTTCCATTGTTCGGAGTTAGATCAAGTCACCCAACAAACCAATTCGATCCACCGTCTCACGCTACTAATTTGATAAAATCTTTGTTCTTCAAATAGTTCACTCGGTCGAATCCAAAATTGTGAATGTTATATTCCAAGATTACCAAATGATTCACTGTCTTGCGCTACTAGGTTTTCAAGAAACTCCCTGTTGTACCCCAAAATTTGCCCTCTCATTTCTCAAGTAATCTCTCACAAGATCTCCTTTGATTCAAGACTACACAAGGAAAAATGGACTTTTAATGCCCCATATGACTTTCATGGATCATTTTGGACCCTCAATATTTCTCATGTCAAGTTTCAAGTCTTGGATCACATTTTTGCTCAGTCAATTGATCAATTGACTTAAAATCAACTATATTAGAGAAAAATTCAATTATGGTCAATTTAAAGTCAAACTTTATAATTTTTTATCCATATCAACATCATGAACTCATATATGTCAATTGATAAAGCTTGGATCACAATTCCTCAAGAAATTTGATCAGAACATCAAAAGGGCAAAATGGTCAAAATTAGGGTTTTGATTGGGAAGGTTCAATTTCTGATTTTTGACCTAACAAATGACTTATTAGTTTAAGACATGATCTAAAGGATTCAAATGCATCATTTTTACCTAATAGCATGTCTCAAAACATTCCTCAAGATCAATTGATCGATAGTTGATTTTGAGTCAACTGATGAAAAGTCAACTGTGCACTAAAAAGTCAAACTTTGACTTTTTGATCAAAATCAAGTTTCAAAGATTACAATTCATAAAGACATGTAAAAATATGAAACTTGTTCATCAAGAAATAAAAAATTCAAAATTTCTAAACTTAGAATTTTTTCCAAGTGTTGGAAATTCACTTTTTTTCACAACTTTGAGCCAAATTTACACCATGATATAAGATAATTTAAAGGAAACTTCCAACATGAAAGTTGTAGATCTCAATGAGATTTAAAAAATTATAGAACATAACTTTTTCTATAAATGATTGTATTTCAAGTTATGATTTTGTGAAGACATGTTCGTGAAACTTAAAGACTTAGTGAAATTTTGCCCTAGTTTAGGCAGGATGTTGACTTAACTTCATGACAATTTTTCACATAGTTCGAAGATAAATTTTCAAAAATGTCCAACATTAAGGTTGTAGAGGATGTTACAAGCTTTCCAAAATTTACAAGAACTCATTGAGATCATACCTGAGCAAGGAGAATCTAAGGAAAGAAGTTAGGGTTTCATTCTTGAATTACAAGCCATTTCTTGATGAACACATAATCCAATCTCAATGTTAGGATGCATAATCTTGCTTTGCAGGCCTTCTAACTTGTGTATCTATCCATCATTAATGGATTACACAAACTTTTGAGCTATAATCCAAGTGGTTTAAGCATTGTCCAATTTAATTTTCCATTTTGGAAAGAAAGTTAACAATGCCATTCTTGAAAAGCAAGCTTTATGCACAAAGTCAATTCTTGAGCCTCTCACTTGTTCCCTCTGATCACACTCCATCTACAAAGTCAGAAGAAAGTTTGTTTAAAGCATAACCACTCTACAATAGCAAGTACAAAGGACATTGAAACTTGATTTCTCAAGAAAATCACATGTTGAGCTTAAACATGTGATTTTGAATTCTGATCAAATACAAGTCTCAAAACTTTTTAATTATAAATAGAGGCTCTATTTGCAAGCTAACACACAAGCTTGAACACCCTGAAACTCTCCCAAACTCCCTAAAATCAGAACTTGCATCAAAACCTCCACTGTTGCATATTCTTACCAAAAACTCCAAACTCATAATCCACTCGTGCGTTTCTTGGCTTTTCACTTCCAAAAGTTCCTATACATTAAATATAACCTATCCCTGTCCCTGTTTCATAATTGTAATTCCATTTTCGTCATCCTCCATAACCTAAAATAGAGCATTGCAAGTTGACTTCTCCAGACCATTCTAGTCATCCATTGCTCAAGCTAATCATTGCATTAGCTTTCTGGGGACTTGAGGAAGCTAACCTGATCATTGCAGCACCTTGAATCAAGCTCATTTGCATTTCACGATTTCCAGTTTTGAGGTATCTTTTCCGAACTTCTATCTTTTCATTTATGCATTGTTAAGCTTGCATTTGTGAAGATAGAATGTAGACATCATTGCCCTGAAACTGTACATGTCCATAAATTTCATTTGTATTGATTGAGCTTGGAGAATTTTAGGTTTGAATCTCTGAAAATAATTAGGTTAGAATTTGGTACTTTCAAAAATTCTCATTCATCTTTGATTTATAGCTCATGATATTTATATGGTTGGATTCATATGGAAAAATTGAGCAACTTTCATGTTTGCATCTTTCATTTTTATTGAGAAATGAGCAAGTTACAAGAACCATGGCTGGAGGTTGAAGATGAAGTCATTTTCAGGACTTGACTTGTGTTATGTATTTGTTGTTTTGTTTAAGTTAACGGATGTATAGCCACCCCAATG